AACTGATGAGGTTAGCAGGATGGTGGCAGCCACGATAAGACATGACATGTTCTAATGATTCGTCTTAGCGAGCTGCGTGTGTGTGTTGGGGGGGCACAGAGGGGCTTAGAGAGGGGAGTGGGGGCCCCACAGGTGCCGACAAAGACTTTGACCTTTGCTGCTATAATATCAGTGTTTCACAGGCAGGGCGGTTCGGTAACCCACTTTCAGCCCATCAAAAATTGATTTAATTGCAATTTTTTCCCCCAATTAGGAGCACTGGAGCTTAACTAATTGGAGTAATAGAGAGTAATAAGGCTCTGATAAAAAGCCTTCCTCTGCCTCCTTTGTATCTTGTGTCATCGCCTGTCAGAGGTCAGAGAGCTTGCATATTCTATTAGGCAGAGTTGCCTTCATTTGTACAAATTAGTTTACCCAACAGTAATTAAAATGCCAGTGCGGGTCGGGGAGAGCTGAATACAATTGATGGGCACGTTGGTGAAGGATTTGACAGCTCCGGTGGCCTCCCTTGCCAAAGCGTGTCAGTGCTGAATCAAAGGCTACACAAACCCACAGACCCGTGTGTTTAACCCGCGGCACCGTCGGCACCAACTGCTCTCTCTTCTCCTAGCTCCGTTTTGGACTTGCTTTCTCGTCTCCTTTTCTCATCTCACTTGAGACTTTTTAAAATAGATGTTTCCCATCTTTGAGCTGTCCTTTCTGTTGACTGCTTTCATAACACTGCTACCAGCCCCCCCATCCTGTCTCCCTCGGTTGTCCCCCTTCTCTGCCCCCACCTTCCACATTCCCAGCTGCAGGGCTCTGTCAAGTAATAACTTCTTTGTTTCCCAGTCCAATGAGTCTCTGTATATAATAGTCTCCAAAATGGAACAACGATGTCCAATTCCAGGGGGCGGGGGAGCGCACCAGGAGGAAGGAACAGGCTCTTGCACGTGTCAAGCAGATTCTGAATTTGAAATCCCCGAAGAGCAGAATGGGACTTGAGAAGCAATCTGTTTACAGTACAGGGGAAAGGCACAAGCCTGGGGCACAGGGGAAGTTTAGAGAGAAGAGGTGGGAAAGGACCTGTTTCACCCAGGTTCGTTCAATGACTTCGCCTTGCAGGATTCCCAGCTCAGGCAGAGTCTGCTCTGGAGGTTGGGTTGACAGTGAGGAATGTATGTGTTGTACAATGGGATTTGTGTTTCTGGAACTGAGACTGTTTCCAAGCCTCATGACAAACAGCATCTTTCCAAAAGGAGTGATGGGCATGGCCTCGGTCCTTCTGGTTCATTTACATCTGGCAATGTTCTGTCCAGGATGGAGTGAAGAGGGATGCTACATGGGTGAAACCATAGTTGGCACCTTGGGAGCAGGCATGGGATTATTGCAGCTGGACTGTAGCCAGAGCACTTCTGCTGTTGCCAGAAATGCCATGGGATCTTCAACAACCACAAGTCAGTCAGATGGAGAGTTCTTGTGTTTCTTCCAAAAGCACTGCCAGGATGTGTGTTCTCTCTCATCCCCTGGCCCAGTTCCTATTGTGGGGGGATGATCCTTAATGCAATGTCTTTTCTGTAGCATAGAGAAGGTCTGGCTTCTGGAGAAGCAGGTTATTGGGCTTTTTTCTTTCTCTTGTTTGTCCTTTCAGTGGGGCGTTATAAATAGGAAAGAGAACATCAAAATATTGGACGAGTTGGGAAATTCCTTGTGTTGGACAACAAAAACATGCTGTGTATGAAATATGTGTGCCTCAATGCTGCACAAAATCCTTGCCTTCCTGGTACAGCAGGGATGGAAATGCTGTGTTAGCTCGTTTTTAGCTTCCAGGGGATCTCCATGAAGACAACACGTGCTGCACTATTGCAGGACTTTCCCATTAGGAGGGCCTTTTGGAGGGAGCTTGTAGTCATGGCACCCAGCAGATTTCATGGGACAGAGAAAAGCTTAGTGGGGAAGGGGCTTTACATCTCCAAGGCCATCTGAACCTTAGGCACAGCAGTTTTTATGTTGGATGTAGACACATTATGTTTGGTGTCAGTGTATATCAGTAGTGTCATATGTACTTCAGATAGATGGGTCATGCCTGCTTTAATATATATATAGGGTTATCTTGTGCTCTTCTCTTCCCAATCTACTTTCTCCTCAGTCTCTCTGACTCCTGCAAGCATTGTAGGCAAAATAGATGACACTCTTTAAGCTAGTAACTCAGCTTGAGTTGTTTCTCTTGGATGGCTGGCAACAACACTTGTGAAGAAGTTGCACTTCTCTGGGTCAGAGGTTTTTTGTGTGTGCTCTGTGCTTTCCAAGACAACAGAGCCTTGTTAAAGATAAACTGAAAGAAGCAAGCCTGATAGAAGGGTTCAGCACTTCTGAATGAAGTTTCAGAGGTTTTGGAGCCAAGCTTTACGTGCTTACCTCCAAACTGCATGTTGTTTTAGACCTACCAAAGCTGACTTTTGTTGCCCTTTTACTTGGAGTAAAACTGTCACCTCTGCGAGATTGCCAGTTATGAGAGGCCTGGGGCTTGAAGGTGTATGCCTGCAGACCAGACTCAAGGTGAGGGTGTATCATCCCCTGGAATCCAGACTTAAAGGTCAGTTCACTCTCAGGCTTCAAGAATTTCTCATTGGCACCACTTCTTGTGCATGTTCTCTTGTGAATGCTGCTTTCTAATGCTGGCAGTGAAGGTGGCCCACTCTTCTGGGAGAAGTCTTATCTTTGCTTGCTAATGGGCTCAGGCTGTTAAAGATAAGGCCTGCAAACCTGATCCCGCTGAAGTATGAGACAAAATTCCTGTTGACTGAATGGAGTCAGCTTTACCCAGAAGAGACTTGTTTGTGGCCCTGAGGCCTGTATTTGATGCTGGAGAGAAATCTCTTTATCTAATGCTTTTTTTCTCTCTCTTTTTTTAGGGGTGGGGGGTAAGGACCAAGGAGGGAAAGCTGAAGTCCAGAACTGACAGCATGAGCGGGGATTAGAGCTTGCTGTTCCTCCCACCTTTTTCTCCCTGTTGGTGTGCTTCCATGCTAATTTAGACCTGTGGCAACCATCAAAGCCTTGTGCATACCTTCTGCACAAAAGGGCCCGTCTCCCACGTGAGGGCGTTCTCTGCTGGGACAGAGTCAGTTTGTCCCCTAAAAGAAAAATCTTAAGCACCCAATTGCCTGCTTGACTGACTCCCTGACTGCTATTATGCTTCTAACCATGGTAATTGGTTTGACTAGTTATTAATGGATTATGTTTGAGGAGGGGGGACAGAACCCAACACCTAGTGTTGTAGCTGAGGGACTCCCTGCTAAAGTGCTGCTTTCCAGACATGGGGTTTGATCAATAAGTGGTCAAAGTGGGTATCTTGCTTGTTTTTGCCTGAGATGAGGCACATTGGCAAAAAGGAAATGTTCCCTCTTGTCCTGCGCTATGGTGAAGAGAAGGCAGGCATTGAGCAGAAACCCTGTTTCCAAACATGAAAAGCTATACACTTTCTTAATTGATCCTGGTGACTACTGCACAGCAACAGGAATTAGCTTTTCCTTAGACTCTCAAACTTTGGTCAGGGACTTCCTTAGAGTATAATAATGTATGCACCCTGCAGCATGGGTAGAGAGCCCAGTGCTGCAGGGTGCATTGGCTGATTGCATGTGTGCTGCCAGTGAACCTGGAATTTTGCAAGACAGCTTGGTTGGAGACATTTCAAAATAGCTCTGGTGCTGCAGGCCTTTTCTAGCCCTAAAAGGTAGCTAAGGGTCCCAGGACTTGTGGATACCTCCAGGTATGTGAGTTTGGGTAGGAAGGATAGAGCCAACATAAAAGAGAGCCTCAGTAGCTGAAGCCCTTCGTAGGTTTGTGGCCTCCTGTAGCTCTTTAAAATGGTTTGATGTTATCTGCTTGCCTCTTTTGCGGAGTGTTCTGGTAGTGCTTTGGCCTTATGATTTGGAGAAACCAATTGCTTATCTAAAAGCAAAACTCTTGCTTATTTAAAAACAAATGTTTTGAAGGATTTTGAATTCTGGCCTTGCTTCTATGTATTGTCTGGCTTTGACTGAGTTGAGTGCATGTTTACCACTTTGCTGCTGAGTGCTTTGTTACACCAGCAGTAGTCCTTCTCACAGAAGTCAGGGACACTACAAGAATCCATTCCTGGTGCAGTGGAGATTTGGAGACTTACCTAGAAATCCTTGTGTGAACTGCCTTCTCTTATTTGAACGGAGGATAGGAAGTTGGCACAAAACAAGCAATGTCGTTTAGAGAGCCACAGCACCCATGTTCCTGATGCTTGATTTTAAGGATATGTTCCAGTCTTTTGAACTAGTTTGAGGCCAGTGGCTGTCAGGTGACCTCCAGAGCCAGCGCGTGCAGCAGGGACGTAGCATCATGAAGAGGACTTTGGAATGGATCCTGCTGGAGAGTGTGAACTGAGCCAAATATTGCTGCAGGAGAGCTGTACTGCCTCTAACAAAGAGTGCTTGAGCACCGGAGAGGGGAATATGATCGAGCTTTGAAATTTGCCTTGCTTTGAGCAGGCTGGCTCATCTACTCTGTGATGTGTTAGGCCCATGATGCTGCAGCCAGTTCATGATTGTGCTCAGAAGTTGTCAACAAACATAAGCAAGATGTGAAGTAGGAAGCAACAGGGAATTTTCTATGGGGTCTTTCTTCTGCTTACAGCACTGTGTGAAACATGCTGAGTACTGTACCAACTCATTTGAAAAATGTCCTTGCAGTTTTCAGTTGTTTCTGTGTTAGGTTTTCCCTTCGTGTATACAGATATATGTCCTGCCAGTTCTCTGCTGGTGTGACCTGCTGCATCTGGGAAGCTGAGCTACTGAGAGCTATGGAGCACCTCTCCCTTTGCTGCTGCCTGTCCTTTGTGAGATGTGGTGGGACATGCTGAAATTGTCTTGAACCAAAATTCAAAATCTGTCTTGTAACCTTTTTGTTTGCCTTGCTCATGCACTGTTTCTTCAGAACATGAGGATTAGTAAGTGTTTTTTGTTTGCTTGTTGTTTTTTTTTAAACAGCTCATTTGTGACTGGGACAGCCTGCTGTGGACACAACTCACCTCTGAGAATCTGGGACCTTGAGAGGTGAGTGAGCTTCCAGGTTACAGGGTTACCAGGTTACCTGACAAGAAAAGTGAATAACAATGAGAAACGAAATATTGGAAATGCTGCAAAATCATTCCTTTAGTCCATGTAGACAAGGGATGTTTAAACATTAGATGCATGACAGAACAAGTTGGTGTGGATAGGTGTAAGAGGAGGGTGGTTCTGGATCAGTAGGGAGCAACTTAGCTTTTCTTCCCAACTTTTACAGTTGATGGCACAGCCATCCTGGTTTCTTCCCGTTACCTGTGTACTGTCAGAATATACCTATTACACCTTGCTTTTCATCTATTTCTGTGGATGCCTCAGCCTGAGCCAGAGGGGTGAGGAAGGTGATCTCAACCCTCTCATTCACCCACTTCTCTGTGGTGCTCAGAAGCCAAAGGCAAACACAGGCTCTACAGTCATCTTGTCCTGGCTGGCAGTTCTGGTAGCTCAAAGAGGTGAGGTGTGGCGACAGGTTATCTATGGAAGTGACTTAGGTGTGTTGTCTTCTCTCTGTTATAATAAGCACTGAGGAGGTTAATTGCTGTGGCCTCTGATTTGGGGCCTTTGAGTAGTTCCTGTTCGGTGGAGGTGTTGACCTTAGCAACTGGGGAAATGTTGATCTCAAATCTTGATGTGAGACTCAACTGCTGACAAATTTGAAACTCTCAGCCTGGGGGTCTTTGTGTAGTGATGGACAGATAGCAAATACTTGGCAGGATTATTGGAACAGCAGCTCAGCTTTCCAGGTCCGGTATGCTCTGGGTAGGAGTGGCGCAGCACAGATTGTCCAAAGGAGTTCCATCAGGATTGAGGTGAGCAATGGCAGAAGGGGCCAGAGGGGTGTCAGCAGAGCTGTATTTGGGGAAAGGAGGTAAAGGAGGGTTTGTGTGGATATAGGGCAGGTTTGAGACCAATTGCCTTCTAATCTATAGTTTAAACAGTTTAGACTGTCATAGTCAACTGTATCAAATACAAATTTAAAGCAGTTGTTTTGTCTCTGAAGAAACAAAAGTACTTTGCAAATGATGCATCCTACAAAGGACAAATTACAGCAGGAAAGTGCCAGTGCATTTAGCTATGGTGCATGTTTCTTAGGGACCCAGTCCAATGGTGCCTTTGGAGTAATCCAGAAGGATGCAGGCTGTGCTGTGATACCCCTGCCCGTCAAGTCTTCTGGCTGTTCTTGAATAGAGGCATCTGGCAGGGGTAAGGAGGTGGGCAACACTCTCCCCCCTACCCCAGCCTTTCTGACAGCCTTTCCCAAGGAAGCCTGAAGAGATAATAAAGCTGTGTAGAAAATAGGATTAAGGTAATGAACAAGCACAACGGAGTTTGATCTTTCAATAACATAAAAGCCTGAGTGACAGGCAAATAAAAAAGCCAAGGCAACCTAGGCCACTGGGCCTCTATTGCAATGGGTAGAGTGTCAAACTTATTCTTCCCTCTTCACCTGTCACAGCTGGAATGCACCTTGCCACTAAGTCTGGCAGACTTGTCAGCATATGCAGGGCAGGAGACTGAGTAGGGACCATGGCCAGCAAACTAGCAGGTGAAGCCTGATGTGATCATTCATAGTGAGGGAGTACAGAGCTATCCTTTCTGGTCTTGACTCTTCATAAACTGTTTTTTTCCAGCAGAGCCTTGCATCTATCTTCAAGGGCTCCAGTGGTTGCCAGAAGTGATCTTGTAGGGAATATCTCTTCCTTTGAGGTTTTTACATGTTGTCTCCCTGGTCAGACTCCAGAAGTACTAGCATGGCATGAAAACTCAAAATCTTAGAGCTACCTGGGACTAAAAAACTCCTCCTGTTCCCAGTGTGTCCTGATAACATCTGGCAGACAGAGCCAGAGTTTGCTACTTACCCCTTTCTTCTGGCCACAAAGGCCCAGAGGCTGTGGCCAGCAGAGGCTGAATGTGCAAAGGATATTATCTCTAAGAGCAGAATCCAGGTAACATTTGTCAAAAAAAAATTAGGCAGGGTAAAGCATTGCTTAAGATGGTTCTTTAAAACCAAAGGCTTCTTAGCACCACTGAGATGTTTAGTTCTGTCCAGGATCGGTGAGTTCAGTTAGCTGCATTTTCTCTGTACTGGTGTGGAGATTTAAGTACCAGTGCAGCAGTTTCTGTGCCATTCTCTCCCCTTGGAGTAGGTGGTCTTTTTCCCCAACAGCTGAGATCTGAAACATGCTACAAAAGGATTTAAAGCTTAGATAACCTTTTGTGTACTGATCATCTTAGTTCCAGGCCAGATAAGTCCTTGGCTGGTGCTTGTAGCTGTTGGTCATGGTATGCTTCCTATTTATGACCTTCGCTGTTAGCTGACCCTGGGGCAGCCATTCTCATCCCTCCAAGAGGAAGGGGATAATGTCTTCACCTGTAAATATGTCCTGTGCTTTGAAAAGGGCTTGGTTGGGTTTGGCGGTGAAGAAATTTTTAGTGGGAAAAGGAAACGCCTCTTGCTGCATCCCACCCCCACAACTGTCTTTCATTTCTGACTCTGCTGAGATGATGGCATTGGATCAAAGCCACAACAGGCAGCAACAAGCAATTGTCAAGGGGAGCCTAAAGCAGGGGAATGACTGTGTAATGCCAAGGCACTGTCTCTGATGGCTGAAATTCCAGCTGCTGCTACACCTGGCCCTTTCTCCTGTAATAAAAGAGGATTTAGGGGTTTTTTTCTTATGCTTTTGAAGCTGGCTAGCTGCACCTCTGGAGGACATCTCTCATCCCACAGATGCTACATTGTGCCATCTGATTGCTTTTAGATGTGAGGAAGTTGCTGTGCACTTACTCCTACTCAGGATCAAGGGGTGTGTGTGGAGGACAGCTGTAAGTAACTTTGGGGATTGGAAGTCTGCATGGGAAAGGAGAACAATGAGCAGTATGGGCCGCTGGATATGAACTCATGTCTTTGCATCAAGTACCAGGCCTTGCTGACTCCTTGACCTCTTACAAGCCCCCTTGCCCATCCATGTCAGTGAGGGATATGCTGGCAGCTGCCCCTATTGTAGGTCAGATATCTCTGCTCGCATTTGCCTTTATTCAAACCTTCATGGCTCATCTACCAGTGCGAGCTTGTGGCTCAGCAGAACAGCCACTTAATGACAAACAAGAGTAAAGGAAACTTTCTTCAGATCCTCCTCCACTTTCTTTCTCTTCCTATTGTCTCTGGGAGTTTAAATTCCTTGTAAGATGAGGATGATGCACCACTGCAAACAGCTCCAGGGCCAGCATTTGTCATGTACCTGCCGGAGAACTGTTGCTCCTCATCTTATTGGGTTGGTCTGAATGTCTTTAGGTGGCAAATGCCTCTGCCTCAAGGATGCTTCTCCATAAGGTAGGATACTCCAGAGGTCTCTTTGCAGCAACTCTTGGAGCTATTCTGCCAAGCCTGATATTTGAAATGGACGAGTGATCTGTCTGACATGGTAGTCATCATGCTATAAACACTCTGAATGCACAAATCCTACAATGTTCTTTCCTGTGACATGACATGACAGATGCAGGGCACGAGAGCTATTGTGAAAACTGAACCAAAGTTAGCTGTGCCCTGCAAGCCACCCAGATCCTCTACCTTTTAAATATCCAGTCTTTGTCCATTTTCTCCCCTCTTTTGAAAGCATTTTTGGCAGAGTGGGTGTTTTTTTGTTTTGTTCTGTTTTTTTAAGAACCCTCTAATTTCTTGTTCGGTTTTTCTCCCTCTCCTAAGCCCTTTGAAAGTGGCTTTACGCCGTCACTGACACCAAACTGACACTTTGCGTTTCCCCACTTCTTGTCCCTTTATGGCAACAGATGTTGAAATTTTGTATCCCTTTTATCTGTCCCTCTTTGCCCTCTTCCTGTAATTAGGTTTCCCTTGTTAGCAGTACAAAGTGGCCCGGTTTGCTGCCCGGCCTTTTGAGCCATTGTGTCTGAGCACATTTTTTTCCTCCTCTTTCGGAAGAGTTCCTTCCCCCTTAAGTAATAGGCAGGGTGTGGGCCAGAGCTGTGGCTTTTTCTTGTTTCTTTGTTCTCCATTTATCTCTGCCACCTTTTTCAAAGAGATGGGGAAAAAAAATAGAGTGCATGGAAGGGGGAGATACAGAGTTGCATTTCTTGACCGTTAGGCCCCCCTGCTCTTCAGGTGTTCAAGACAGGTGCCTTTGATGTCTGCAAGTTTTGGGGAGGTGGGAGGTAGAGGATTCATGAGAGTGGCTTAGGAGTGGAGGAGAAGGGACATCCAGGTGTATGGCTGGGGCCCTCAGCAGAAGGCTGGGGAGGAGGCTCAGGGTAGCCAGGCAGCTGCTGTGAGCAGGTTAGTAAACTGTTTTGCCTATAGTGCTATTGTATTATGCTCTTTCTTTCCAAGAGTCAGCATGAGCGTTACTATCATAAGCAGCTGGCTGAAGCTTGCTAATGTGCTGCTCCTTGGTCCTGTGTGCTCCCATAGGTCCCTTGCTAGGTTACAGCTGTCTGTGCCATGGGGTGGGCAAGAATTAGTTGCCATCTTTCAAATTTCAGTGTATGTTCATCTGGATCCATTTTGGTGGCTCTTCAGAGCCCACTGAGTTAACACGAGCAATTGTCAACAAGGAGGGAGAGCTTGAAGGCTTGGGCTCCCTGTGCTGTTCTTAAACAGCAAGTGCAATTTCACAGTTGCAGTATAAAACACTGAACGCCCTGGTTAGCTGATCACTACTGATGCTTTCCTGTTTAAACCCAGTCCTTCTTGACTTTGCATCCTGTCATGCTCAGATTTTTAAAGCATGTGTAAGTAGATGAGTGAAATGAGAATCTGCAGGTCTAGTTCTTGGTTATACAACTTGCTAAATCTCTTCAATAAAAGCTTTTGATGTAGAAGCTTGGCCCAAGATGCACCAGCAGACTCCTCAGCATTGTGTTTTAAAATAAGTTCCATAGAAGAGCACTCTCTCCACAGCTTTGAACTCCAAGGTTGAAACAAGTTTGAGACCCTCTAACTTAATAGCAAAAGGAGCTGTTTGGTGAAGGAAGCA